ATGCTGGCCGAAGCACCTTGTGATCGAGGTGCACCACTGCATGCCCCACCATGTCCTCGACCTCAGGCAGAGAAGAAGTTGTTCAACTCGGGCCGACGGGCCCGGCTGATGTCGAGGATCTGCTTGACCTCAGTGGCGCGCTTCTCAGCTTCTTGCCACATGGTGAAGGTCTCGAGCTTGATCTTGCGGTATACGCAGGAGGGGATGCCGCTCAGGTACTTGTCGCGTAGCTCCAGGTCCCCATACCTGGAGTGGTCCGCCGGACCCTTGAACAACGTGGAGAACTCTGCAGCGGTGCATTTTTAATGGACTGACTTGTCCGCGCAGAGCTTAGTGAGCTCCACTTGTGCAGTGGTGGCATCGTCGAGATTGCCAAAGCGAGCCTTAAACGCTGTAAGGAAGGCTGCTTCGTTGGCGAAGGGGGTGGTGACCCCTTGTACGCCCATCTGCACTGATGCAAGCTGGGCAAAATTGTCGCGACTTGAGGTCAAGCGACTGGAGAAAACCTAAGGGCTGGGGGCGTCCGACTAAGTCTTACCGAAGCGATGGCGAGCTATGCTCAAACCTAAGGCTAGGGACAAGTGAATATATTAGTAAGGTAAGAAGGAATACAAGGGAGGCTTACTGACCTAGGGACAAGAGGTCGAAACTGAGGTCCCTAGGGCAGCAGAGGCCGGCTTATATACAGGGGATGTTTAGGGGAGGCTGTGCGCGCTGGTCCGTGCGCAGCTGGTCCGTGCGCAGCATGCTGACGCGGCCCCGGGGGCCGGTGAGTCAGAGAGGCTGTGTCAGCGGAGCCCGAGCTGTGCCGTGCACTGCCGTCCTATCTAATCTGATCGTACAGTAGATAACGACGTGTCCATATCAGGCAGGTAGTACAGAGGTCGCGGGTTCGAGCCCGCAAAAAGGAAAAAATTAAAAAACGGCTAGACGCCGTACCAAGTCGTGACAGTCACGGAATGTTAGGCTTGTAAATGTTTTATCACTATCACGACAGTGTCATCTTATCCACACCTGCGGGCTTGTTGTGAATGTGCTCTGAATCCAGGACTCAGCGGGTGCGATGTTTCGTTGCATGAACAGACCACTGATTGGCTGTGCTTCTTCATTGACGCATGAACATCTGAGGAGCCATTCATTCACTGACTTTACTATTGCACACTAGCCATGACACTTATGCTCAGCTTCATTGTAAGCCTCCTCATTGTTGGACGTCTACTCTTGTACTGCCGCCGCTCAAAAGTGGCAGTGCCGTAGAACATTGCAAGGAAATGGCAGGATCACGTTAGCTCACATATAAAATCACACTGCAATCAACAGCTATCTGCAGGACGAACGTACTTGCCAATACCAGCAGCACACTCATCAACTAATTGCCAGATGACGGGGACAATGTTGCCCATATCCACTGAGATCCAGCACACCTGTTACGGTTCTTTCATTTCGGACGCATTACTTTGGACCACAGAACCTTATCTCTATTTAGTTACCATATATGTCTTTTTGTTTTCTCATGCCTCTCTCGGACCTTACCTATGTCACAGATATGTTTACCTCTTCACAGATATGCTCTCTCATGTAATATATAGTTGCTCATGCGGTTTGTACAATATATAAGCAGGCTGAAGCTGAGGGCAATCCTCAGTCTTCAGTTGGCACTTTCAACGCTAAAATCTAGTCGTGTCATTAACTGAAGACTCCTCTACTTCGAACTCACTCGACTGGTATTACCGTGTCTTCCAAACCCTTGTATTCGAGAGTGACCACCCTCCGGTACTAAACCCAGGCCACACAGGGCAAAGAACTCTCTAAATACAAGTTTTTCATCCGATTCTACCCGAGCCACCTCACTGCTCATTCTCCACATCCGCACATCAAATGTCCGAGACAACGAAGTCTTGCAGAGCCGGGCACTAGGCTTAAAGTGTAGCCATTACTGGCATTTCTATTCGAACGCCCACCGCAGGCACCTTGATAAGGGTAGATAGCTACGTATGCGCCCATCGACTCAAAACGAACCTTTGGGAGATTTACCTTCAGTGGTAGTCTCCAAGGGGCCAAATCCCCTCCATGATTAGGCAACCCACTGCATAATAGTCAAAAGCAGCACGGGGCTCATGGCGATCGCGAATCGAGTTGATTACTGCGGAGCCTATATAAGTAACAGTAGGCTAGTGTAGCAATACTTTGTCCCTGCGAGTTACCCCTATTGGCTAAGAGGAAGACTTAGCGGTAGGAACAGGGAATCTTTTCACCATCCGGAGATAACGGCTGTGCAGGCTTGGATAGCCTTTTTGGGTTGATCCTGTTTGGTGACAGGGGACCAGGCAGCGCGTAGATTTGATAGACCCAGAAAGCGGTCTGGTTTTGGAAACTTGGGCTCCGGGGTCAGGAAATCCCCGAATTGGATCGCGAAGTCGGAAATTCCTCGGCAGAATCAGGGAGCAGAGCAATTGAGGCGGCACGCTGATAGGCGCCAAGCCCCTCTGGGCCCCGATTCACCTCTTTTCGGCACTCGCATCCCGCCCGGTACTTCGACTCAGTCTCCCAACACTTCGATTTCGCCTTCGACGCTCTTCGACACCTTCGACGGTGCGCGACACTTACTCGAAGCTCGGCACGGTCTTTCCGATGCCTCGTGCGTAGATCTCGGAACATCTTCCGCATTCGGCGAACAATAGGGCCACTTGACGCCGCTCGGCCAAGCGCGCGCTTCGCCCCAAGCCACACCGAAGTAGCCGGTCTTTCCCGATTAGGTATCAAACCTCGCGGCATGCCTTCACGATGGCTACCGGTCCGAAGTGGCCATATGTTGCCCTTCATCTCCGCATTCGGCATGACGTCACTCTACTGATGGACTTGGTATGTGCCCCTCGGTGAGGCAGGTTCTTGAGGAACAATGCAAAGCCCCTTGTACTCGTATGCCACTCTCGAATAGTCGTAGCATCCTGTGTAGTATAAAATCGGTCGTACTTCTCTCCAAAAAAATGAAGATCCGTTCCCCCCCCCCTCGAGTTCAGAGCTCATAAGTCGAGTTCGCCCTGCGTCTACGTCCTCAACTGCGTCACTTCGTTCCTCACTGCGTAACCTCGAAACCTTGTCCACTGCGTTTACTCGTTGATACCGTCTCGACGAACCTTTCGACTTCGACTACTGTCGAAGAACTGCGTTGCACCTCGAACCGCGTCCTAGTTAAGTCCCCCCCTATCGAATAGTGTCCCTTCTCTCTACGATACATCGAAGAGCTCTGCCGAGCTTCGATCGTCGCTAACTTTCCACAGCCTCCGAGTAGCCTCCACGACGTGTCGAAGCCACCTCGTACCTTCCCTAGCATTCGTAGCCTTTTCCGAAGGTGTTTCTCGTGTTCACTCGAACCGCGGGACACCTTGCTGCTAACTCCCCTCTCATTAGACTATAATCCGTCTCTCTAGTCCCTTTAGGTCGCACCCAGGTTAGGGGTTAGGGTTTCGTAGGTCGTATCATTTCTGGAGCCCACCGCGAGGGGATTTCAGGCAAGAATTCGCCGCTTTCGGGTTTCCAAAAACGTCTCCAGTAGTCACCCGCTCGCAAGCGCGTGAGGCTGCTAGCCGCAGCGCCGCCGAGAACCTCGACAGCTCCTCTAGAACGCAATCGACTCCCTCTCCAACAATCCCCGGTGACTTCGACCGCGACGAAGAAGACGAGATAGACCAAGAACTCCAGGACGACTTCGACGAAGAACCCATCCCTTCGACCGCCGAAGAACACACTTCGTCCCCCGAGCTTCTAGGCCTCACTACTTCCGACTACGACTTTTCGACTCCTGATCTTTTCGAACGATCCAGTTCTTCGCCTGAACCCAAGGATCCCATCCCAGCTACTTCGAATCTCGTACTTCCGACTCTGTCTTCTGTTCGCGCCCACGCTCAGCCGCCCATCGCATCCTCTTCGCGAATTTCAGTCATACCTACATCCGACCTGGCACCTCTGCCACCATTAGCACCTTCGAACACTACTTCGAACTCCAATCTCGCACCGCCTGCTCCTGCGATTCCTTCGACTACTACCACGTCCTCTTCAAGCCCAACCCCTACTACCACTACAAACATGAGTCAGAACACGACCGCACCGTTGATGCCCCCGCGCGGTCATTCGACGGCACCAACCTTCGACCCGTCGGAAGTCCGTTCGCTTCGGCGTTACTTCCAGGACCTTGAAGCGTTGTTCACCCGGTGTCAGATTACCGACGAAGCAGCCAAGAAACAGTGGGCCGTTCGGTATCCTTCGATCGACGTCGCCGACTTATGGGAAACCATCGAGTCCTTCATCGACGTAGCCAAGAGCTACAACGACTGGAAAGCCGACGTACGAGCACTCTATCCTGGCGCCGACGATACAAGAAAGTGGTCGCTGGCAGACATGGATCAGCTCATCGGAGAACGCGCTCGTATCGGAATTCACAACGCGGCAGACCTAGGCTGCTATTACCGTGACTTCATGGCCATTACAAAACATCTCATCGCACAGCACTGGCTCTCCATTATCGAACAAAGTCGCGCATTCCTTCGAGGATTCCAGCCAGCATTGCTCACACGGCTCGAGACCCGACTGTATCTCAAGCACCCCGATCACTACGCCGACGACCCGTACACCATGGCAGAGATTCACGCGGCGGCTACGTTCATCTTACACGGTACATCGAGCACACCTACGACAGCGGCGAACCAAGCTACCGCTTCGACGTCGAACACTTCGACAACGGTGCCCCCCGGGATGATCAAAACCGAAGACATCTCGATGATCATCGAAAGCCTGTCGAGAACGATCGCAACACTCATTCAGCCGACGACACACGCTACGCACAACCACGCCCCCGCACCGAGACAACAAGCTGCCATCCACATCCACGAGAACAGCGGAGTTGAACAGACGTGCCACTACTGCGGCAATCGTGGCTGCAGGGTAGGCACCTGCGAGTTCGCGGAGATCGACATCCGGGACGGCAAGTGCAAACGTAACACCGAAGGAAAGATCGTCCTTCCGAACGGAAGCTTCTGCCCCCGCACTATCCCAGGTCTCACAATACGAGATCGAATCTACGAGTGGCATAGAAGAAATCCCGCAGCACCCGCCGCTCCGACGATGCTCTTCGAGATCGACGATCGCTCGACTATGCAGACCTTCACGCTCAACACCAGCAGCAGGATCGAGGCGCTCGAGCGAGAACTCCTTCAGCTTCGGAAGCGCAGGGAGGTCTTCGACGGCGTCGAAATTCTACAGCGGAAGAAGCCTACGATGCCAGCCATCCCGAAGAGCGCGGAAGCCTCGGGATCTGGTACATCGAAGGGAGTGGCGGCACCCTCGAGCACTTCGACAAGCACGGCCCCGCCTCCGACGATACCAGCAGCAGCACCCACGTCATCTTCTTCCCCGCCTGCGCAATCCACGTCTCATCCTATTACTACATCCGCTCCCCCAGCACCACCAGTACACCCCTTCGCAAACGCTCGCGACGCAACATACGCCCCACCGAACGTTCGAAACTTCGCAACTCCGCCGAAGCCCTCGAACGACAAGGGCAAGGAACCAGCGTACAAGACCATCGTCCCCGTTATCCAGCCAAAGCTGGCCGAAGAGATCTTCCAGCGCTCGATGAAGTCGCTGTTCGTCACGCTAACCCCAGAAGAGTTGCTGTCAATCGCGCCCGACGTTCGAAACAAGTACCGCGACGCCGTCACCCCTAAGCGAGTCTCGACGGAACCCGTCGCGTCGGCCCACATCGTAGAAATCGGCGCCGACGAGGTCACGGCCGTCAACCAGCTCTCGTGTTCAGGTGCAACATTGGAACCCGGTGCTACAATCGTCCCCGACCCATATGAAACCTATCTGAAGCACAT